TCAGTCAAGTGGGAGGGGGAGAGAGGAGAGCGACCAATGCACATCAGTCAAGTGTGAAGGGGGAGAGAGCAGTGTGTTTTGCTTTCCCCTCTCCCTCTCTCAACCAATGTGCATTGGTCACTGAGTGTGAAGGGGGAGAGAGGAGAGCTACCAATGCACATCAGTCAAGTGTGAAGGGGGAGAGAGCAGAGTGCACATTGGTTGAGAGAGGGAGAGGGGAAAGCAAAACACACTTAACATACCCAACTCTGCATCTGTGAGCTCAAGCAGAGTAGCAGCAGCATGACATTGCTCCTCAAAAGATCCATGGGCGTACTCAACCACCAGCTCAGGCTCATGGATTTCCTCTTCCTCCTCAGGCTCAGAGTCAAGCTGGATGACATCCTCAGGTGCAACAGCAGGAGGCTTCTGCTCCTTCACCTGCCTCCACTTCACCAGTGGTCCAGTGGGCTCCTTGCATGAGCAGTGACACTTCTGAGAGGGAGTTGGGGTGCTCAAGATGTCAGGGCTGAGATCCTCCAGGAGCTGCTCCTCCAACCCACTTTCCTCCTCGACCTCACTTGTGTCCTTTTCCTTCTCCTTTTCATGCTCTTTTTCCGCCATCATTTTCTCCTTCTTTTCATCCTTCTTTTCTTCCTCGATTTCCTTCTCTTCCTCACTCTTGCTGAATTCAGAGTCAGACCTGGTACTCCTCTAGGCATCTCCTTGTCCAGCAGCTCCTTCAAAGCCCTGATGCTCTCATCCTTCCTCTGACCCCCCTGGCTGCCAAGTGAGACTAGGAGGCTGTTGAGTTTTGCCTTTGTTACTGTCTCTGGCCTGTGGTTGTAGTCAGCCATAGCAGTCTGTGCTTGCTCCAGAAGCCCCTCCAGAGTCTCCTTGGAAAGGTCAGGAAGAATGGTGCTACAGCACTTGACAGGGGTTTGCTGACTCATGACATGTTTGTGTTTCCTTGCAAAAAAGTGAAAGGCAATTGATTTTTTGACGTCGTCTCCTTTTTACCCTGTCTACAGAAACAGAAATTTCTGGTGACTTGAAACATTTTCTGTAGACCTCTGACAGCCCCCTTAATTGCTGCAGTGCATGTGAAATTTCATGTGTTGCCCAAATTCCACCAATGCGCATCAGTTGTATCTGCAAGTTCAATTGGTGTGCATTGGTAACATTGACAAATATGACCAATGCACATTGGTTGGTTGCCCATATCTCCACCAATGCACATTGGTCAGTGCTGCAAGCTTCCACTGATGTGCATTGGTCACCTCTGCAACTTCTGCTGATGTGCATCAGTCAGTGCTGCAAGTTCACCACTGTGCAGTTCTCAGTTGCCCAAGTTCAACCAATGTGCATTGGTCAATTGCACAACTTCCACCAATGCTGATTGCCTGCTTCCAATTTTTCCACAATGTGCCTCTGTCATCACCAAACACAACCTTGGCCTATCACATCTAGGCATTCACAAAAACACAAATTCCTGTGTTGTCCATTTGTCGACACACTCCAGGCAAACAGTCACTGCCACAACCTTTATAAGACCTTGACCACAAAGTCATTCACTCACAACAGCCATGACTAGTTCACAACAAAACACCTTAGCTTCTGAGCTTCTCACCCCAATCTTTTCTCACAGCCTTCGCCCAACTCTGCATTCTCCTGCCCCCCAAGTTCTGCACACCCTTGAGCAGAGAACTCCAGTCAAGCAACGCCAACTTGCTTGCCTGTCCCATTTCATCAACCTCTGTGAGACAACTTGCTGTCAGAATGAGTGTTTCTCACTCTTTTCTCCTACCCAGCTGCAGGAGTTGGCCACCCCATATGCCCAGATGACTGAAAAGCAACAAATGGAATGGCTCCTCCAGACCATGGGTGCCTCTGCCATGGCTCCTCCTCCATGCCTTTGGTTTGCCCTGTGCCTTTTCCAAAGGGTGTGTTGACTCTCCTCCCATCAGCTGACTGTTTCTTGCTGCCATCACTCCATAATCCATCACACTCACCTCAACTTGCACCCTCTTCCCCACCAGATCATGGGGTTCAGCAGGCATAAATGGGTGAATGCCTGTCTTCACTACAAAAATGGGGGCAGACACTTCATCCATGGGGCAATTGGCTCCAAGCAT